AGGTTGTTTGTACAATTTGTACATACGTGTGTTGTGTCAGAGCTGGGCACTAACGGTTTATGAGACGTGATTGACAGCAGGTTATCCAATTAAATGGAGTAATAGGAAATTTCAAATTCCAAAATATAATAGCTTACCCTCCTCTATAAAGGAAATAATCACAGCCATACAATGTCCTCAACTAGTCACCAGGTTATGACCATGTCATTCTGCAAATAGTGCACCGCTAAATGTAGTCTCACATGAATGACACAACCCTGTTGCTACAATCGACTCATTCTCAGCTAATTCTGTACCTGACCTCTACATTGCTATCAAGAACCATTCAACAGAGAAGTCATCAAAAATCTGGGTTAGGTATAATACACCCTGAACCCTACTAAACTGAACCAAAATGAGATAGCTACACTGGAAAATCTCCTACAATGCTGTTCAGTAACACCACCATCCTCATCAAAATGGTTGTCAATCACGTCTCATAAACCGTTAATGCCCAGCTCTCGCTACGCCCGGGCCCACGCTGTTCTTCGAAGATTTCTCAGAAACGCTTAGTTATAACGGACGAAAAAACCAAAACACCGATCTGCCGCTTGATATTTCTTTATTGTTACACCAACATATAAAAAGAATAAGTGAACTAAGGTCTGAAAACAAATATAACAATAGTAAATCATTGTATTACTTCTGACGATGTTTAACTCTTCTTTCTGAACAGCGACTGATGAGACGATGACTGTCGTATTGATGCCTCCGCGAAAATTGGAGAAGTTGAATTTAAGCAAACAACAAAGAATTGATCGTTCAATCTTCAACTCCATTGAGAAAGGTATTCACATCTTTAGTATCTACAAGTACAATTACTGCAAATTTGTGATATTCATCTAGATAAGTTTAATAAACCTTTGAAGCTGGATTATAAAGCAATTAGGACGTGTAAAATCGTACTTGGCTGCAATGAATTTCGCCTGTCTTCGAGAATGAACCATCTTTGTCAGGTCCAGCACTCCAATCACCATAGTTAATATTAGGTTCATGCCAAAATAACGCATTGGAGTCATTAAAAAAATGAAACGTCTCATTTTCACTCAAATAGACAAACAACTCCATAGGAGAGCCCGACTGATAGAGATTGGTAGCTGGGATAACTCCTTTATTCGGATTCACCTGACCAGGTGATGGACGGCGAAACAAGTTGAGAACAAAATAAGCTGTTAGAAGACGAAAAGCAAATGCTTTCAACATTCCCCATCTGTTCCACTGTTGTTGCTGTTCAGCAGCAGGAGTAGCTGCTGCATCGGTGAGTGGTGAGACCTTAAGAAAGAAAATGGCGATAAAATTATTACGTTAGTAAAATAAAGCTAAAAATGGCAACGACAGTTGCTAAAAGTATTCCTATCCCCGCCAGATAACCGTATACTACGTTTCAGTAAAAGTCATTCATTATGTCACGACTGAAGCAAGACAAAGCACCCAAGTTCATTCATCATTTACGGAATGACACTGCGAGTAAGAAGTGCATACTACCCAAGTCAATAAAGCAGTATCAAAACAAAACATTGACTTTCAGAAGATCAGAAGTACAAGTGTGCAAACTACATTACATTAAACGAGGTAGGTCTGAAACCTGAATACATTCCTTCCTAACTCACCAGTATAAAGACCACTGAGATTAAGAGGCTGACAAGGATCTTACAAAGCAGACTGCTACATATATATCTTCACAAGCAGAAACATTTTGTCTGGCTCCGAGTACCAAAAACGTGATAGTGCGTACCAACCTATTCATCTTGAAAAATTATAAAAATGTCACTTGTCTTGGTGTACATCTAACAGACAGATACCAGTCTTTTCCACGTCAATTAGGCAGCTGGAATACCCTTGCTGAATGTACGATATATCGTCACGTTTCATAATAAAAGAAACGTTAGCATAGAGAGAATTGTTCGGAAATTTATTTACGAGTTGCGCCTTAAGTTGCTCAGGCTAGTACCCTAATAGGTAATTAAGAGAAACGACATATTAGTCTCATACAGATGTGAGTATTTGGTATATATGTCACACCTGATACGTCTGAAATCTTGAGATGCTGTTTCATACGCTAAGGATTTAAGAAGTAGGTAGCTATGAAACCGCCACGCTCCCAAATTAACAAGAACATTGTGTTTATTTAGGTAGCCAACAAATAAACGCATATTTGGAAATGATATCAATACTCTTCCTGAAGAAACCTGGTATCATATTTAGTTTAGTTTAGAAACAGTAGTAAAGGCTGTTTATAACCAAAGATTAAATAAACGCCAGTTGATTCCTGTTGCTTTATTCGAAATGACAGATGCAGAAAGACTTATTCCGGCTGGCTTCGAACACAGCGAAGAGAAAAAGTTTCTTAAATGGAAACTGGTTGAAAGTCTCCACGAAAACCGTGAACACTGGTGGACGACGAAAACGGAAGAAAGGGCATCAGCAGTAGACAACACTACAGAATTGTTTAGACCAATTAGGGAAACGGAGAATAGAAAACTATTGGTATGTGAAACCATTTTGGAGGACGGTACGTTAATAACTCCTCAGGGAAAACGACTAAAACGTTGAATGGAACACTATGAGGATCATTCCAATTGGTCTACAAATAAAACCAATAAAAGGTGGTCAAGGCAACCCAATCAACAAACAGGACAAACGCAGGAAGAAATGGGCTGACCACTTCAAAGGACTCCTTAACCGACCAACACTTGCAACTCGCTCAGAAATACCACCAACGGCACGCACAGAACTGCCAGTGGACACCAATCCTACAATGAAAGCAGAAATCTCGAATGTGGTCAAGCTGCTGAGGACTGGGAAGGCAGCAGGACTGGACGGAATCCCTCCTGAAGTACCAAAAATTGATCCACAGACCGCAGCAGGTGTACTGACACCACTATTGCGAAGAAATTTGGAAGGAAGGAAAGGTGCCTACTGATTAGAGGACGGGTTAACTTGTCAGACTGTCAAAGAAGGACAGCTTAAATCTGGTGCGGAATGAAGCTTAATTTCACGCCAAGCAAAACTATAAGTGGCATCTTTCTGGAGAGACTAAAAGACGCACTGGATGCAGAACTCCACACGGAACAAGTTGGATTCAGGAAAATAAAATCATGTGCGCATCAAATTGCAACTCTATGCATCATACTCGAACAGAGCATAGGATGAAAGTCAAATCTCTACCTCCACTTTATCGACTTTGAAAAGACCTTTGACACAGTTGATAGAGAAGTAATTCGGAAACCACTCCAACACTACGGAGTGGCCCAAATCTTTATTAACCTCATTCAAAAATTATGACTATGCCATGTGTCAAGTGATTCATAACAGCAAACTCAGAGAAGCCTTTGAAGTGAAAACAGGAGTAAGAAAAGGCTGTCTACTATCACCGACGTTATTTTTAACTATGGTGGACTGGGTTATGCGGCAGACTGTGGAGAACAAGAAGACACAAATACGTTGAACTAACAAGACTAAAAGATCTGGACTTCGCGGACAATTTATGTCTTATGTCATATGAACTCGAAGACTTACTGATGAAAAACAACGAATTGGAAGAAAAAACAAGGACAGAACTCCGAGTGAACCTAGAGGAGACGGAGGTGATGCAAATAACTAACCAACAAAAACAACAACAATTACCAATCACTACCAACGGGAGAGGTTTGAAAGATGTCACATCTTCTACCTATTATGTCGGAACGAATGAGGTTGTCAAAGCCAGAATCGGAATGACAAGACAAACTTTCATCACGCTGAAACCAGTTTGGAAATCTTCCGCAGTCAGCACAAAGAACGAAGTTAGGATTTCCAACACCAACATTAAGTCAGTTCTTCGGTGTGGGTCGGAGGCGTGGCGCGTCGCGGAAAGCATTTCCAACAAACCAGTACTGACTTCTATCAGAGGCTGTCTTTGCTGGCTCCATACTGAAGAACAGATGACCAGAAACAATTAGCAAACCAATCAAGAACCTACTGCCCAACAAATATATGGGAGAAAATGGAGATGGGTCAGACACACCCAGGAGTCCGCCAGGTGATATTGCGCGCCAGTCCCTCGGGTGAAACCCGAATGGAAAACGACGATTGGGTGTCCAAGAGTGACATGGAAGAGATTGTGTGAGGAGATGAAACCTTATGGGCAATTGTAGGGCCAGCTGAAGAGGATTGCAGAGAATAGGATGAAGCAGAGTCGTGACGTCGAAGCCCTAATTTCCACTTGGAACCCAAGGTAATAATGGTACAACGACGCTAAATATGCGTAGCATTCAACATTTGTCGCCTTAATATAACTGGGGTTGCACTGCCCGGGAGAAACAGGCAGGCTTTAGATGAGGACGGTAGTTTATTGGTCAGATCTGCTCCTCATATAGATTCTGGGACATAGGCACACTTAAAGGCGTCCAACGCCTGACATATTTCTTGACATCATCATCATCAACCCATGATAATTTTTCCATAATTATTCCATTGTTTACTGGTCACCGCAAAGGTAACTCCTCTAGGAGATAAGGGTGTGTCGATATTCACAGAAATTACGACGTATACCAACGCAAGTTCTTATACGCACAACTCCAATAGTATTTTTTCCGCGATTACCAAGAGCAAATGAAGGCACCAAACTGACTGTCCAGAATTAAAATTTTTTGGGAACAAAGTCGCAATGCTTGGATGGTTGCTCAGGAGTCAGGGATCGTGAAAGAACTAACGGATGTAACCTGATGGCGCGGGGAATGACATAGATGATTGGCCTCCAGACTTCAGCTGGACTAGTCAAATTAAGCATAGAAGGTGAGCATCTATTGTTGAATGGTGAATGTAGCAGGCTAGTAGTTTTAGGGAATTACTTACCGCTACACTATTATTAAGGGGTTCACAATAATCTCACAGATTAGACTGCCACATATATAATCACAAGTAGAAACATTTTTTTGAATTCTGAAGGAAGACTGGAACATGCGCAGACATAGACTATTCAGGGATTCACTTTTTAAACTCGAGAATGTTGTATGCGTAATAATTGATTGAACAACCCGCAGACTTTAAATTTGCAACTAAACCGTGGCTGTTCTCGGGTTGGTTTGTTTTTGGTTAGTATCGCGACAGTGTTGTTTTCTATTGCAATGTACTTCAGGTGGGGAATATGTGTCCTACGTAGTAGAAACCAGTGAGAAGTGTTTGTTCAGTCTCTTCACCACTTGAATGTGCACTAGCTACACTATTGTGATTTTATCATCCTACACAGGTCCTTTACTTTTTAGGTTCTTCTACCCTGTTGACCATATTCTTTATTGTTAAAAGTCTAGGACTCTTAGAGCCTCATTATTAAGTTGCATAACTTATTAAACTCAGATATCAGAGCATGTACTTAGGCTCATGGGAAATGAGGTGTGCCATTATTTTCTAGTAATCGTTGCTTGAACCTGCGTACCTTTATTGATGGTTTTCTTTTCATTTCCGCACTAATAGAGTTAAATAATGAGTGTCGCATGCACTTAAACACAATACGTATGAATTCTGATTGTTATGCCCCGATGCTAAGTACCGAGGACGATTAAAATTAATTGCAGAATCTAGATTCTCACAGAGTGGTCAACGACTGGAACTCCTTACCTGATTCAATAGTATCAGCTCCAACGGTGAACGCTTCCAAAGAGAAGTTAGATCTCTGCAGAGATATATTTTGCAAGGATTAACACAGGCCACAACAGCCTTCTATCCTTATCATCTGAGTCTGAATAAAGCTGCTCAATCTTGGTTAGAAAATCGGATCAAGCAGTGGTGATTGCATATACTTAACTGCTTATTGCCACTGGTTCGTCAACAGTATGATTGTTCGTGTTAATTTTCTTTTTTCATGGAAGTACACAGATGAAAGTTGCAGTTTTCAAGTGAAATGTTGCTTAATTTGGAAAGATCCCATTTAGATTCTCAATTATTTCATTAAGCTCTGTATTATTTTATTTAATTCTCTTAAGGTTTGAAGGACTGAATCCCATCAGTTGAACATGCCTGGCTCTCCCACTGAGGTAAGGTACCACCTCTCCCTTTGCACGTGATCGTAAACCTTATATCCACTTTTCTGCAGTCATTGGTAAAAATAACCTTTGTGTAATTGACTAAGTTTCAATTTTCCTCCTGGTGGCCAAGTGTGTTTCAATCACCGTTTTGATGCCTTAACAATATCAGTCACTTGTTATGATATGATTTACTTCGACTAAAATCTGAAGGTGGTTATAAATTCTTATGCGAATTGATTAAGACTGCTTTGATTCTCAGAAGGCTCGTGATATAGCATAAACTTGAATTTCCTAAGGAACCGACCGCATACGGCGATGCTGGACTGAATTTTCAAAGCTGAACTTCGCACAATATTACAGTACACAGTTTTTTTTTTGATTTTTGATTTACAGCTTGATTCCACACTGTATTTTCGGTACAAGTATGGAATTTTCAGCATGGATATCGGTAGCCCAAATTTTGCAGGTCGACTATAGATATCAGATGTGCGTCGGTGCGGGCTCGAACCCCGGACCATGTGCATGGTTGGCGAGAGTCCTAACCACTGTGCCACCGACGCACAGTACAAGGAACTGAAAAAAAATTGATGTTAGCAAAAATGTTCATGAGGATGCATAATTAAATGATCTGTATTTAGAATTTAATTGTTCATAAAGAATGAATGCATTTGCGGCATTGAGGATTTTGACCCATGTCACCAAGCCGTTGATTCTTTGCAACTCTGGGGTGTCAGTCAGGAATTCTGAACTCCCTTACTTAGCCCAAAGCAACAGTCATGGGTTGATGAGGCGTGTTTATCTGACCACTTCTAACCTTATCCAATGATCGCTAACATTACTTGGCGAGGAAGACACTAGCTTTGCATGCACATGGACAGTAAAGCTCTGCTTAGTACCTATGTTGTTTGATAGATATCCTGATATTCCGTTTGTGCCAAAGATAACACAAGTTGGCAAATAACAAATGACTTTTTTGGATTCGACCTGCGGCTTCATTAGTAATCAGTTCGTTAGGATTGATTAGACTCCTTGAATAAGTGAAATGGTAAACACACTCAAGCATTTCGCTCCCTATCCTTAAACTATGATCCGGCATAGACTATTGTCTCAGAATTACTCTACACTTGACAGGTGAGTCGCATGCCAAACATACCAAGATTTTGTCTCAAGATATTCAGAAGACTCCATTTTGTCAAAGTTATCACGAAGCAGCGCTTTATCTTGTGCATATTTAAATTGGAAAGAAAGAAATTGAAAGTATCCTGCTAACAAATCAGTCGCTAAGGTTGATTTGGGTCACACCCGTCAGTACATATATGATACAAAAATTGAATGCAAGGGCACGCCTAACTGGTTCCCATCACTTCAGATAGCATCTCTCCGTAATCCATTGCACGAGTGCATGAGTTTGAGTAACGTGCCTTGATTAGTGTGGCATACTTTCTAGCCTCTCTTCACAGAGGTCTTACCATATCAAGAAATATGTCAGGCGTTGGACGCCTTTAAGTGTGCCTATGTCCCAGAATCTATATGAGGAGCAGATCTGACCAATAAACTACCGTCCTCATCTAAAGCCTGCCTGTTTCTCCTGGGCAGTGCAACCCCAGTTATATTAAGGCGACAAATGTTGAATGCTACGCATATTTAGCGTCGTTGTACCATTATTACCTTGGGTTCCAAGTGGAAATTAGGGCTTCGACGTCACGACTGCTTCATCCTATTCTCTGCAATCCTCTTCAGCTGGCCCTACAATTGCCCATAAGGTTTCATCTCCTCACACAATCTCTTCCATGTCACTCTTGGACACCCAATCGTCGTTTTCCATTCGGGTTTCACCGAGGGACTGGCGCGCAATATCACCTGGCGGACTCCTGGGTGTGTCTGACCCATCTCCATTTTCTCCCATATATTTGTTGGGCAGTAGGTTCTTGATTGGTTTGCTAATTGTTTCTGGTCATCTGTTCTTCAGTATGGAGCCAGCAAAGACAGCCTCTGATAGAAGTCAGTACTGGTTTGTTGGAAATGCTTTCCGCGACGCGCCACGCCTCCGACCCACACCGAAGAACTGACTTAATGTTGGTGTTGGAAATCCTAACTTCGTTCTTTGTGCTGACTGCGGAAGATTTCCAAACTGGTTTCAGCGTGATGAAAGTTTGTCTTGTCATTCCGATTCTGGCTTTGACAACCTCATTCGTTCCGACATAATAGGTAGAAGATGTGACATCTTTCAAACCTCTCCCGTTGGTAGTGATTGGTAATTGTTGTTGTTTTTGTTGGTTAGTTATTTGCATCACCTCCGTCTCCTCTAGGTTCACTCGGAGTTCTGTCCTTGTTTTTTCTTCCAATTCGTTGTTTTTCATCAGTAAGTCTTCGAGTTCATATGACATAAGACATAAATTGTCCGCGAAGTCCAGATCTTTTAGTCTTGTTAGTTCAACGTATTTGTGTCTTCTTGTTCTCCACAGTCTGCCGCATAACCCAGTCCACCATAGTTAAAAATAACGTCGGTGATAGTAGACAGCCTTTTCTTACTCCTGTTTTCACTTCAAAGGCTTCTCTGAGTTTGCTGTTATGAATCACTTGACACATGGCATAGTCATAATTTTTGAATGAGGTTAATAAAGATTTGGGCCACTCCGTAGTGTTGGAGTGGTTTCCGAATTACTTCTCTATCAACTGTGTCAAAGGTCTTTTCAAAGTCGATAAAGTGGAGGTAGAGATTTGACTTTCATCCTATGCTCTGTTCGAGTATGATGCATAGAGTTGCAATTTGATGCGCACATGATTTTATTTTCCTGAATCCAACTTGTTCCGTGTGGAGTTCTGCATCCAGTGCGTCTTTTAGTCTCTCCAGAAAGATGCCACTTATAGTTTTGCTTGGCGTGAAATTAAGCTTCATTCCGCACCAGATTTAAGCTGTCCTTCTTTGACAGTCTGACAAGTTAACCCGTCCTCTAATCAGTAGGCACCTTTCCTTCCTTCCAAATTTCTTCGCAATAGTGGTGTCAGTACACCTGCTGCGGTCTGTGGATCAATTTTTGGTACTTCAGGAGGGATTCCGTCCAGTCCTGCTGCCTTCCCAGTCCTCAGCAGCTTGACCACATTCGAGATTTCTGCTTTCATTGTAGGATTGGTGTCCACTGGCAGTTCTGTGCGTGCCGTTGGTGGTATTTCTGAGCGAGTTGCAAGTGTTGGTCGGTTAAGGAGTCCTTTGAAGTGGTCAGCCCATTTCTTCCTGCGTTTGTCCTGTTTGTTGATTGGGTTGCCTTGACCACCTTTTATTGGTTTTATTTGTAGACCAATTGGAATGATCCTCATAGTGTTCCATTCAACGTTTTAGTCGTTTTCCCTGAGGAGTTATTAACGTACCGTCCTCCAAAATGGTTTCACATACCAATAGTTTTCTATTCTCCGTTTCCCTAATTGGTCTAAACAATTCTGTAGTGTTGTCTACTGCTGATGCCCTTTCTTCCGTTTTCGTCGTCCACCAGTGTTCACGGTTTTCGTGGAGACTTTCAACCAGTTTCCATTTAAGAAACTTTTTCTCTTCGCTGTGTTCGAAGCCAGCCGGAATAAGTCTTTCTGCATCTGTCATTTCGAATAAAGCAACAGGAATCAACTGGCGTTTATTTAATCTTTGGTTATAAACAGCCTTTACTACTGTTTCTAAACTAAACTAAATATGATACCAGGTTTCTTCAGGAAGAGTATTGATATCATTTCCAAATATGCGTTTATTTGTTGGCTACCTAAATAAACACAATGTTCTTGTTAATTTGGGAGCGTGGCGGTTTCATAGCTACCTACTTCTTAAATCCTTAGCGTATGAAACAGCATCTCAAGATTTCAGACGTATCAGGTGTGACATATATACCAAATACTCACATCTGTATGAGACTAATATGTCGTTTCTCTTAATTACCTATTAGGGTACTAGCCTGAGCAACTTAAGGCGCAACTCGTAAATAAATTTCCGAACAATTCTCTCTATGCTAACGTTTCTTTTATTATGAAACGTGACGATATATCGTACATTCAGCAAGGGTATTCCAGCTGCCTAATTGACGTGGAAAAGACTGGTATCTGTCTGTTAGATGTACACCAAGACAAGTGACATTTTTATAATTTTTCAAGATGAATAGGTTGGTACGCACTATCACGTTTTTGGTACTCGGAGCCAGACAAAATGTTTCTGCTTGTGAAGATATATATGTAGCAGTCTGCTTTGTAAGATCCTTGTCAGCCTCTTAATCTCAGTGGTCTTTATACTGGTGAGTTAGGAAGGAATGTATTCAGGTTTCAGACCTACCTCGTTTAATGTAATGTAGTTTGCACACTTGTACTTCTGATCTTCTGAAAGTCAATGTTTTGTTTTGATACTGCTTTATTGACTTGGGTAGTATGCACTTCTTACTCGCAGTGTCATTCCGTAAATGATGAATGAACTTGGGTGCTTTGTCTTGCTTCAGTCGTGACATAATGAATGACTTTTACTGAAACGTAGTATACGGTTATCTGGCGGGGATAGGAATACTTTTAGCAACTGTCGTTGCCATTTTTAGCTTTATTTTACTAACGTAATAATTTTATCGCCATTTTCTTTCTTAAGGTCTCACCACTCACCGATGCAGCAGCTACTCCTGCTGCTGAACAGCAACAACAGTGGAACAGATGGGGAATGTTGAAAGCATTTGCTTTTCGTCTTCTAACAGCTTATTTTGTTCTCAACTTGTTTCGCCGTCCATCACCTGGTCAGGTGAATCCGAATAAAGGAGTTATCCCAGCTACCAATCTCTATCAGTCGGGCTCTCCTATGGAGTTGTTTGTCTATTTGAGTGAAAATGAGACGTTTCATTTTTTTAATGACTCCAATGCGTTATTTTGGCATGAACCTAATATTAACTATGGTGATTGGAGTGCTGGACCTGACAAAGATGGTTCATTCTCGAAGACAGGCGAAATTCATTGCAGCCAAGTACGATTTTACACGTCCTAATTGCTGTATAATCCAGCTTCAAAGGTTTATTAAACTTATCTAGATGAATATCACAAATTTGCAGTAATTGTACTTGTAGATACTAAAGTTGTGGATACCTTTTTGATGAGGATGGTGGTGTTACTGAACAGCATTGTAGGAGATTTTTCCAGTGTAGTTATCTCGTTTTGGTTCAGTTTAGTAGGGTTCAGGGTGTATTATTCCTAACCCAGATTTTTGATGACTTCTCTGTTGAATGGTTCTTGATAGCAATGTAGAGGTCAGGTACAGAATTAGCTGAGAATGAGTCGATTGTAGCAACAGGGTTGTGTCATTCATGTGAGACTACATTTAGCGGTGCACTATTTGCAGAATGACATGGTCATAACCTGGTGACTAGTTGAGGACATTGTATGGCTGTGATTATTTTCTTTATACAGGAGGGTAAGCTATTATATTTTGGAATTTGAAATTTCCTATTACTCCATTTAATTGGATAACTGGCATTTGGAACGATGGGCACTGGGTTTGAGTCTCATTTAAGACGCCACCACTCAGAGGGATGACGGCACAGCCAGCTGGCAAATACAAAATAAGACAGTATGCATGTCTTGGATTCTACTGCTAGCCATTCTCAACTAACTAATACAAAGCATAGTAAGTTGTCTAACTATAGCCCATGATTAATTACTAATCGGTGAAATTCATCGGAAGTTGCTTTCCTTCACCAACAACTTAAACAGCTTAATACTTATCCATAATAGTGTAGGTTTTATGCCTCTACTCATTTTCTCTCTCTCCCTTTCTTTTCAAATGTCTCTGTGCTTTTGTTAATTTCCCATGTGCCTTTGGATTGACGAAACTCACCTCAAGGTTTTACAGTGCTCCCCTCCCTCATTTGCGTGCTCTTTGTTTAGAACAAATATGATAGGACTTCAGCGTTGACATGGACTTTGTTGATAGGACTTTATTTAGTTCAGGGATACATTTACTTATCTATTTCGCCTGTATAAAAAGTACTGCTATTTTCTTTGCGGAGTAGACACTTGCAACTGATTTGTCATGTGCCAAATTAACATTACCATCCCTCACACCATCGGTGTGGTTCATTTCCAAGTACTTTGGTAGCATACGATTGCTAAGTAACAATTCACTGATTTTTGGCCTAATAATACCTGCTGTTGTGTAGATGGAATTATTCAAATATCTAAGCGTGAGATTATTTCAACTTATTCGGCACAAATAAACTTACCATTACTTTTATGTTTTGTTTCAGTTTCCTAAGTTAATGTTTAATGGTTCCCTGTACATACACGTTTATCTTGTTAAACCTGGCTTTTCACCTGATCCCAATGCAGGCAACAAATATTCATTGAGGTATACTGTTTACAAGTCTAAAAGTGAGTGCATGTACCTCTTGCTGTTATTTTAGCTTAATTACTCTTTTTGTGCTCGTGGTTTTAGTGGCTTTTCTTTTGAACAGAAATTCCCAGGATTTTTGTTTCGGTGCTGTTGCTTTACTGTGGAATTCGATCTTCAATTTCCAGGTCATGGTCATTGATATGTGCGGCGTCGTAATAGGTACTAATTTTTGTATAGTAGGTGGAATAACTCCGCTGTTCAAAAATGCCTTATTCTTCTGAGATGGTTACGTGTATTTCGTTCGTTTATATGCTTCCCCATGCTTAAAGGCTTTATGGTATTGATATGTGTGGATTACTGAGGTTAGGTTAGTTTATCTAAGTCGTTAAAGCTTATGTCTGTCGAACATCAATAACAGTATGTTTAGAGCTTGACAGTATCTCAAAGGTCAGTATTTGACATAGGAGGCGACTGGTAATGTAAATATAGCCTTTTGTTAGGTAGCTGAGCTAAAATGTTTTACATGTTACAGCCTACAGCTTGCGGTACTTTTGATAATTGACTTGAAAAAACTTTTGTTTTCTAAGAATGTGCTTAATTTAGTTTCGGTCTCTGTAGGCAGTGGTTTAACGCAGCAGAGATGTATTTGTGTGTGACTTTTAACAGGTCATAAGTATTTTCTTTGTAACCCTTGTGAATTGCCAACACTGATTCCATACACATGCGCCTGAATCCCTAGATTTCTCTAACTTGCGAGGCAGCGGACTGTGATTTTCTCGATGATGCTATTTGAAATAACTTATCTATTGATTAGCGGTGCCAGATTGTGATGGCAGAAAGTATTTAATATTGGAAAAATACTAACTGGGGAATGGAAGTTTCTTCAGTCAGTGAGTATCAACTTTACAGAAAAGCTGTTTTATATTACTTATCAAGAGAGAAGTTTTCAGTTTAATTCGATATCGTTCTTGATGTCTTATGTTACCATTAGTATTGACGTTTCGCTCCGCTTTGTACTCCAAAATCCTCTGAAAGAATCCGGCTACCAGCGTTAGATTTTAAACTCGTACATAAGTGTTTTACATAAGTATTAGAACCGCTAATGAAAACACTGTCAAAGTTACCTGTAGTCTATGCGATCTCCATGATCTAGCTCTTGATATGTGAAATTTATAAACGAATATAGCCAGTTATTCAAGTTAGTATTCAATATATTCTACATTACACTTTCACCTCTTTATCGCAATCGCATATATACTTTTTCCTACCGTGGAAACCATTTTTAAACATGTAGTCCATGCGAGTTACTGATTGTTATAAAAGTATTGGAAGGAATCCTTCCAACCAATACAGTCAAGTTACGTCATCTTCATGTCAGTGTGCTTTAAACCGTTAAGTGTAGAAACATTACTTTGGAAGTATAGCTCTGTTTGAACTAAATTTGTTTACTCTACCATAATACTAAAACCTGTAATTAGCCTGAAAGTCAATTGTTGCTGATAACGGAAATTAGTTCACTATTTCTTTTTTTCATTTCAGTGTTAACGCGTTATAAACGTCGTCGTCTGTCTCGCACAACCAACCTAATCACGGGTCACACGGATTCACATCCAGATTTAACAGCCAATTCCTCCACGCCATCTGGTGTACAGTACTTGCCTCCAGTCACTCACTGGCACCCAAACCTGACTATTAACTTAGTTGATGATCAATCTCCGTGGGTGAAAGGTTCTGTTCCTATGCCATTAGATCAGTGTAAGTAATTTATGATGTATGCCAGATATATAAATCGCTTCAGACTAAGTGGTCAAGACTGTTGCTTAAACTACATTCACAATTCTTACTTGTTGTGACTGTGAACTTGCATCTTGATGCAATAATTATTTGAAGTTTTAGGTGGCAGGTGTACACACGGGAGATCCTGTAGCTGGTGTGCAGTATACATACAATGTTGCTCTGTCGAATGAACACATCGACAGGATGTTTAGTTGTGGCTGTCATCAGAAAAGTTTAGAAAAAGCTGTGTGGTAATACAAGTGCATGTATACACGGTGTCACTGTTGTCTAGCTGAAGTCATTTACGGGAGTATTAGGGTTAGATATGCGTTAATAAAGGTTCAGATCGGTAACAGTCCTTTATTATATCTTCATATTTGTTTCCGTGCTTCCGATTCTTGCTGATGTAAATCCCCAAACAGACTAACTATTGCTAGACACTCCTTGGTTGTTATATCTTTCTGCTGATAAAACTGTGCTGTATTAGTGGTTATTTATCAAAGTAATTTTGTCTCATGTCTTGAAAATGGGTATTGTGAAAGCCGTATTCACGCTGTCTATATCCACAGTCCTATGAATTCTAGTTTTGTACGCTTGCTGTCATGGAAATTAATGTGGCGTTTTCGTGCGAACTGTCACGCACAAGAAAGACCCGAAGGACAGAGTGGAAGTCAGTAAGGTAGAGAAGAGACTAAAGCTGTGGTTGAGCAAACAATAAACTCGTCAAATCTTGAAATTTCCACTTTTATCGGAGATGTGGGTTATTAGCTGTAGCACTTTCAGTCAAGAGGCAGCGGATTGAAACCCTCACCACCTACTTCAGCCTAAACAACTGGGCTGTTGCAAATGTCTTGGTGCACATAATGTACCGAGTTTGGATAGCTGGGCAGTATCATCAGTTTCCTCACTATGACTGTGACTAATACACCATGACACACTACGAATTTGTTCCAGGGTAATTGAGTCTAGTCAAAGCAACTCACATTTTCATCTACATTTGGCTGATAGAATGTATATTGTAAAACCTATAACTGACTTCTGGGTTAATACATTTCAGGATTTTAAACATGTGCAAGTGAATAGAGCAAGAGACTCATTGAGGTAAGTTTTATGCTTGTCATTATTCTTCAGCAACACATACCTAGGACTAGGCGTAAATATGATCTCATATATTCTAACTGGCAGTCACTTTGCAAGTAAATCCTTTAGCTTTTTGACATGACACTTTAGTATCACTTGGTTTGCAGGCAGTTTTAACTTAAGTTAGCACAAAAGATAAAGCATCACTGCTTCTATGACTTTTCAAGAATGCACTTTAGTGTGAATTTTTTGTCTTAGATTGCAGTACTTCTAAATGTGTTGAAATGAGGCAATATGAACTCACTGTGTACTTATCTGTTCTAGTTAATTCGACCATCTTCCAAAATATCTTATTTTCATAAGTGTGGTTATCACATAAATTCTAATGGAATGTCGTAATCTTCGTAATCTAGCTTTAGAGTTTATTGATTAGTGTTCTTAATTACACGGTCAGGCATGCACAATGCACAACGAATTCTGTTTATTATGACGATTTACTGATGCGTGCTTAAATGCAAAAGACTAGTTGACACGTTACATAAATGACGTGAATCTTCGTCCACTAATTAGCTGTATCGTGTTTATCAGTTTCCTATTAATTGTATGGTTTTGGCAACTTATGTCCGTTTACTGCTTGAACTCTTGTTATTATGAAATAAGATAGTTGTGTGTATTCTTTAGTGTTTGGAGACGGTTAGTAATATGGCTTAAAGTTGTTTGCAGTAGCTCAGATGTAGCCACTTGTGATCTTCGACTATTTGGAAATCATTAATTTCCATCAAATTATTCTTCCTCATGTACATTTTCGTCGGTCGCAGTTTCATAGAATTTCTGCGTTTTTGAATAGAGACAATAAATTTATTGATATTACAGTTGGAAAATTAATAATCAGATGATTATTGAAGTTTTTCGGAATTTAAGATGGTGTGAACATACGTGTATTATTTCCAATAATTTTGTCATAGGAAGTCTTCATTACATAAAAGTGTATCATTCCCTAAAATGCTTAGACAAAGAGGGTTGATATCACTAAAGTAATGATATAGGAGAAAAAAATGAGTGTAATGTGGAAAATAATATCATTAAGAAAAGTTCTCAGAATTTCAAAGGCGAATGGTGGACGATTCTAAATTATGCTGCCATCAGTTTCCGATATTTTAAACTTAGCATTGTACAGCCTTAATTAACACTCAAAATCTCCTAGGATTTGTACCCAGTCCCAATTCGTCTTACTTCAGTCAACATTTCAGAGAAACGCGGGACGGTTTGTCCCATGTTCGACAGGTTTTACGTACCGATGTTTGTCAGCTGTGTATGTTTCCAGTGATCTGCGATTTTTTCGTAAGTTCATTCGTTTCTTGGATTTCATTCCATATGTGGGGAATCCGCTAACTCGTAACAGTGGTAGATTAATAGGCACCCGTGGAGTCATCTAAGGAAGACAAAGGAGAACAAGGTAAAATGGCGATGTGCTACTGAAGCCCCATATTCCATTTGAAACCCAAAGAAACAATAACACTCCTAGGACTATAAGGAAGTAGGTTTTATATACTTAACGAGGAGTCTCCTGTACTTCTAGTACTAATTTTTCATTCTCACAGATTTCACAGCAATATTTTTCTCAATTTTCTAACGTTATGTTGAAAGGTTAGTTTTCCTTCTATAGAGAATGTCTTTGCAGAATTCTCCATATATATATATATTGTTATCCAGTGAATATGAATGTACCACCTAGCCGAAAAGGTCGTTATTTGACACGTGATGAGTCCGAGCGAAACGAGGCGTTAGTGTCGACCACTCATCACCGCTATGTTCGTCTTCTTAAGTAGTGCCTAGTTGGGGCTTTAGAAAATGCATTGTCAACCATAACTACATTTAAAACTCAGTTTTTGCATCATTTGCTGTTGGAAGTGTAAATAAAGTCCATTTGGCTGGATACTGTTCAAGTGCTTTGTATGCATGTTAGGATTACGACTCCAGTGGTATGCTTTAATGTATTTAGAGAAGAATTGTTCAAGATAGATAAATCATCTCAAAAGTACGGTTAAGTATTGTTTCTGATTCTCGGATAACAGGCTGGAAGAGCCAACAGTTCCTTTGAAACAAAAATGCACATAGGATATTCATGATTCTTTTCACATCACTCCTTGAGTGGCCACTTCGTATTTAGTGCACATCCATATACTACTTAATTTTAGATGGTGAGGTGATTGGATAGGTTTACCATCCCTCTCTTCTCGGTAAGCATGTCATCCCTTTTAAGTTAGTAGAGATATAACAGTGGCCTGATTTGGCGTTGGTATTCGTGCTACAGTTAAAATATTTGATTGCCAGCTGTCTGTCTGGATTCAACATAGAACTTGGCACCGAAGTGCAGCAGTTCGAGTTGCCACCTTCCAAATAGCACACAGAGGTAGACAAGAAGATGAGTGGAGAGAATCAATAGAGTTTGACAAGTATGAGAGTGAAACAGAATGGGTAATGGTAGGAAGGAATATGAAAGATTACAGAGACTGAATACATCTGCGCTGGCCATTGACTACGATTTTGAGCCATGTCACCTATTGTCTCCAGCCATTGATTCCTAGAGTCCCGAGGACCCCAACCCGGGAGTCTGCATCTCCCTACCTGACTCAGTTTAACTGTCAAGGATTTCATGGATTGATGCCATGTTTTTGTTTGGCCACCACTGGCTCTTTTCCAACCTTCACCTATGTCAGCTAGCAATGCCCGTCGGGGGAGGCGGTGGTTAGGCATGCGCAGAACGTGACCTGGCCATCTTAGTCTATGTAACTTTATAGCCTCGTCGATTGATTTTCCCTCTTTGCCCAACACTCTACGCCTAACGTCAACATTACTTATCTTGTGAAACCACCTAACGTGAGACAGGGATCGCAGACATCTATGATCGAAAGCAGTTAACCTTTTCATGTCTTCAACGCGTATTGGCCATGTTTCAGAGCCATAGAGAAGGACGGAGCGAACTGATGAGCAGTACACACGTCCCTTGGTTGATAACCGGATGTCACGCCTACGCCAGAGATGGTGTAAGTCAGCGAAAGCAGCTCGAGCTTTTCGGATCCGTGCTGAGATTTCATCGCCAATCAGTCCGTTGGTGCTAATACAACTTCCCAAGTAGGTGAAGTGGTCAACATGTTCTATCACTTCACTCCCTATCACTAAGTTGGGGGTTGACGTGGTCCGGTCCTGTAGCAGCATCTTACATTTTGCAGGGGCGAATCGCATGCCAAACATACGAAGATTGCTGCTCAAGGTGTTCAGAAGACTGCATTTTTTCAGCATCCTCCCCTAACAGGACTATGTCATCTGCATATTCTAAGTCCATTAGATTATTCCCTGGTAATAAGTCGATTCCTAAGTCACTACGTTCAGTTAAGGATACTTCCGTTAGCATATCTACGATGAAGTTAAACAGAAATGGGGCAAGTGGACATCCCTGTTGGACACCACTGGTTGTTACCAATTCAGATGACAATTCCCCATAAGCCCTTACACGACTACGTGAGTTTGAATAGAGTGCATTGATTAGTGCAATGTACTTTCTTGGCACTCCCTTCACAGTCAGACATTGCCATATTACCTTTCGATCCACGGAGTCGAAGGCCGCCTTCAAGTCAAGAAATATGACAATTGTTGGACGCCGAAAAGTGTGTCTATGTTCTAGAATCTGTCGAAGAGTGAAGATTGCCAGCTGAGAGTTGAGCATGTCGTACAGGAGAGTTCTGTGGTTTTCTGTACGTCTGCGAGAGATAATCACTGAAGATAGATTTTACTGAGATTTCAGATTGCTGGTCATGGTTTTCTTTTGTGCGACCACCATATGAGCTTTGTATAGTTTCAATGTAGAGTCCTACGTTAGATAGAGAAATGAATCCAGAAAGTATAAACTTCAGTCTATGAATTTGGTTGGGGCATGTCACCAGGAAAGTGTTAGGTAAATTACATTTACTTTGAAGTTGTAGTAGGTATGATCAGATCAATGAATGACTTTATTTGTGGCGCATGGAGATATTTTGATTATCTTGCTAACATCCTCATGAAAACTGGTGATGGACTTAGAATGATGACTTAGAATCAGTCTCAGTGGCTCAGATGTATTGGTTTTTTCCTCCCTCTTTATTATTGTAATTTATTTCTTTATTCGCTCTATTTTTTTGTTTCCGTTGCATAGCAAACTATAGCTTTCGATTAAACCCTACTTCATCGTTTGCACTTCTACTACATTTTTACCTCATATATATGGATGAAATGTTTTACTTCGAACCGCCGCGCATTATTACTACCATTGTATTTCGTTGTTTTGATGGGTATCTCTGCATTAAATCAGTTTACTAGTAACTAACGTAAGTAGTGCCTACACGTACTGTTATACTAGATTTGTATTCCAGGTGTTGGGTGAATATCAAAGATACAACAAGAAGACTTTTGGTATTCATTCTTATTCCTGTTCTCCCACCTGGTATTAGTATGTGTTATAATAAATAATCATTTCCAGCAGAATTCTTATACATGATATGTAAATCATTGACTTACTCATTACTATGTTTTTGAAACTTTTTAGTTATCGAATTTTATTCACCAACCAATGAATATTATCCTGTTGTTTATCTCAATGACTATTGGAATTTAAATGAAGATTATAAACCAGTGAATGAAACTACCCCCGTATTACCTATACGCATAACTTTCTCACCATTGTCTTTGTTTAAATGGCAATTATATGCTGCGCAGACAGCTAAGAAAACGTGGTTTAATCAAATGATTGTCACTTCAGTGTTACAACCAGAAAATGAGAATGATGAAGAACAAGATGCAATCAAGGTATGAAATTGATAGTGTTGTTTCCTCCTACGTTTACTTTTTTATAAAATGTGTGTTGAGTTTTTAGAGACTGATGGTGTTAACGTTCACGGATAGTGCGAAGTATACTACCGCTAGATCTGATACCCACAACTTTCATAGTATTCGTTCTGCGTAGACCAAAGACAAAGCAATACACCAGAATTGATCGTCCGAATTACGAAGTATATTTTGGGAAAAAATCGGAGTGCGATTTGATTGCTTAACTAGCTAGGGATCGTGGACGAACGTAAATCTTCGGAAATATATTAAATAATTACATATTCATTGATAGAATCATTTTTACACTTATATTCGTATATATATATATATATATATATATATATATAATAGCTAACACTCAAGCTACAGACAGCTGAGAGTGAATAGAAGTCCTTTATGAATGCCGGCGCATTTCTTCAGCCCGAACAGCTGTTAATACCCAAAGGGGGGGAAACTTGAGAAATTATGCTGAGAGATACTACGGACTTGAAAGTAGTATGTACACAGTAGTGATCACATGCTACTGGTGAGTTTTGTCTCATTATTGAATTTACATTTCTAAACCTACAGTATCAGTAATATTTGTTGGAGTTATATTGTGATCATGTAATGATTTGAAAGTCTTCAATCATATGAATAACAAAGTTTCCTTAGAGTCTGATGTCACGAAGAATAGTAATTAAAAAGATGGGTGTATAAGTTCAAACTTATCCAAAGTAAAATTTAATTAGTTAGAAGGAAGGTATTTAGTAACTTGTGTATCAGTGTGGGAAATGATATTTCACTTCTCCACTGGTAAAATTTAGATTGTGTTCTGTTTCAATTAAAATAATCGAAACAAACTGTGGTTTATTCTCTTAACGTAGTAATTTGTATATTCTGATTTGTCCATCTGCATAATTTTATCTTTGAATTTCATAAACGGGCTGATTTCTTTTGTGGCAATTATTAACGAATTGTATGCATAATTCTTGTATGGGAAGTAAATATCGCGATGGTACCCTGTAATAAAATTTCCTTATGAATATTTTATCATTGTTGGAGAGCTAGGCAATTTTCAAAATATTGATTAAGTAATGTACATTCAGATTGGTAGTTATGACAGACGTTTTATCGTGGATTAAAAATAGTCTACACAGTCATCTTAGGTGGTGAAGGAACGGTTTCTCAATTACTCGATTAGTCTGAAGCATACTTCATAATTTACACTTGTGATAGGGTTTGGAACTAAATTTGAAGTTTCTAAGTAATAAGGCAACATAGTCGAGTAAGGCAAGCCAAAGGATACAAACAAGGTTGGAAGTTTTGTTTAAAAATATTCATGGTCAAATGGAAGCAGGTTAGTCGTGTTTTTCGAGAGGCCTTGTAAGCTTTAAATGCAGTTGAGGGATAAGCCATTATTGTGTACTAAAATGCCAGACAGGTAAAACACGATAAAACTGAGTTTATTCAAATAGCTGAATATTTTAAAATACATGGCTGATGGCTATGCTGTACTGAAGGATGACTAGTGGATATCTCCAAAGAACAAAGTAGTACAGTTTGCCAGTTACATTACATGATCAAATAGCTGATGGGAAAGTGAGAGTCGCTTGACGAAAACCATTGAATATAGGTAAAAAAGATATAATTTTACGTTGGCGACAAAAACAATCAATGCTCTAATCTGTAGCAATGCGATTGATTCTGAGCCGTGTTACGTGGGTCTCTAATGGCAGATTACAACAGTGCCCACCTAATTTCCAACCTAGCAATCTTTGTTCCCTTACACAACCAAGACCAGCAGTCCGTGACTTCATTGATTGACTCAGTATGTCGCTATGACATTTCCTTACTGTCTTTCAACCCATTCTGTTTTTCACAAACATAGTATCACTTTGGGTTTAGGAGGCGAACGAACACACGTGACATGTACCAGCTACCATAGACTGATGCCAATCTTATCGAGAGCTTTACGAAACATGGCTATTGCTTCAAAAACAGGTGATTATATACCTGAAACTGTTATAGAAAGCGGCTTAATAATCCACTATAGCAATCTCGTCATGCTACAGCTGCCCCAGAAGTTGCTGACTTCTCAGGGGTTTGCTACAATTGTCTAATAATGTTAGTGAAACACTTAGAACTGATAAATCATAAAAAATTACCTCAGAAGGTCACTGTGCAAGCAAAGTGCTTGGATTAATAGATTAATGCCGCATTATCGTAATATTGAGTTAGCTGATTGTAATTATTATTACTTCAAGACAATAAATATCGGATGAATTACTCTAGAGTAAAGGGCGGTTTGAATGAGTTATTAGAGTATCACTGTAATTGAGCAGAGGACTAAATTTCTTTATGTTAACAAAAGATACATTCTTTAACGTACTTTCTTTGTCCTCTTTTGCCTCATACATATAGAAAGCGTTAATTGAAACAAATCCTTGGCTACTGGTAATAACTGTTGTCGTATCAATTGTGCACAGTGTTTTTGAATTGTTGGCATTTAAAAATGGTAAGTGAATTAATTGCATCCATTAGGATTAATGGTCTTTTACAATATATTTAATTTAAGTGTTCTGTATTATCGGATTGGGTATGAAATTTAGAGATACTAAATATGGATTAAGTGTTCGTGTTGCACACTTAGATACTTATCTTTAAGCGCATGCGTACTTAATTGTCAGTAGATTATTCGTTTAGGCTAAATTGTTCATTGATTGGACTTTTTTAACTGCCATAAATTTTGTGATGCAAGACATTCGTACTCCTGTGTATAACCAACCAGATTTAAGATCTGATTCTGGTTCGTGCTTAATATTACCATTTTAACCGTCTGTAGCCTCCATCACAGTCAAACCAGCGTTTGTATTCCGTCATATGCAGTCATTCCTTGCTATGTTCTTTTGAAATAACATTTTACCTGTCGTAACGGTGAAGCTATTATTATTATTATCGTATCCTTTGATCACTCTGAAATATTCGTTTGGATCTGCAATTATCAGTGTTTACGTGAACTTTTTGGTTGCTTTTCGAAATAGATCAATAAAATACGGTTATTACATGCAAGATGATCCTGTTCCAATCGCTCCAGTCGCTACTTTGTCCACTGAACTAGTTTAGGATATTTCATTATGCATTCATAGTATGTTAGGCTGCACACTGTATATTGAATCATCTGATGTAGATAGTTGATTATTCTGGCTGATAAGGCTACTTTGTAATTAAGTGTGTCGTCTGTATCCTCACCAAATTATATAAAGTTGTCCTCTGTGTTATTTAACCGTCAATATTAAGGTTTGGTGCTTTTAAAGCTTAGAGTTTTTGGTGTTGTCGTATCCTCTGTCTTATATGGTTTAATAACCAGAACGTTGGTTCCCTTGCTCAACAACATCATCTTTAGAGCTTCGTGGCGAAACCATTTATCTCCATGGTCACGATTACACCACCTCAGGTATAAATATTCTCTATCATTCTAGTGAGTAATGTTGAAATTTACACATTGGTGTAATTCATCACGTTCAACTTCTCTTTATTTTGTCGGATAACTTTTGCTGTTATTGTTTTCTTATAAAGATGTAGAAGGATTTTTGCGTAAAAAATGATTATTCTACTTTCATTAGATATACAGTTTTGGAAAACAAGAGAATCATTAGAAGGCCTATCAGTACGCTCAGTATTTTTCAATGTTTTCCAGTCATTCATAGTTGTACTATATGTACTTGATAATGATACAAATTTTGTCATCAAGTTATCTGTAGTTTTGGGATTGTTAATCGAAGTTTGGAAAATCAAAAAAGTACTCAGTATAAAAGTGAGTTAAACAACATGGTAAAAAAATTTTCTTTTTATGTTGTAGTATCAGGATTTAGTGGGTAAAACCAATAAGTTGAATAGATTTTTAGGCTGTTCGAATTGTATTCATTGTTTTCTACTGGTTTGCATTGAATTTACCTACGTATGAGGAATTTTTCAACTGGATGAATTGATATCCGTATAGTTGGTGATGGTGGCCCCATTAAGGTTGTTGCTACATACTCGTGGTTTGTGATTATTAAATATCTATCAAGCTAGTACAACATTAGGTTTACTTTCTCAGCTGGAGATATTATTTGTTATCGTTTACTCGAACAAGAGCGACAGAAACTTCCATGTGGGAGTAGGAATTTGAGTAAATTCGCTTTTCGAAAATGTAGGGGCTAGGTATTAGACTTACAGACGCTGAGTCGTGGGTTTGTTTAGTATATTCAGCCGTCACACCATATGTATGTCTCACAGTCACTTCCGTAGCATCTATCGCATTGTTGAGATGACAGAGTAGTTGAACGTACTTCTGTCTATCGATTTCATATTTGTCAACAAATATTCATAAGGTGAATATATATATGTATATATAGCAGTAGTTATTAAGTCCTAATTTTTCAAATACTGATCAGTATTTCCATAATGCAACCGGCTTCCTGTATCATTTCCACCGTCACCTGATTTTGTAACAAGCAGCAAGTAAGTATTTATGATAGTAATTGGGTTTCTTCTTAGACAATGAGTTCACTAGGATTGTGAGTTGATGAAGTGAACTTTAATGATCCAACAAATACAGAACACATAATTGGGGTTCTTATTACGTAAACAAAACGAAACAGTGGTCCAGTATTCTTAGACTTTTTAATATTTGATCATTTAACCTCAGTTTTAAGTGCGAATACTTTTCAGTCATACCCTCTATCAATCTTGCGACTGAATTAATAGTGCATTCATTACTCCACTCTGCCATGTAAATATTTGTTGTGTCCAACTAGACAAGACCAAAATACACAAGAAAATATGGTATTCCACCATATCGTATATTTCTTTAACTTGCAGATGATTGTATGATGTATCAATGAACTGTCATGAAGATTTGATATCGGATTCGAAACAATCTACTTTTAGTTTAATTGAATTGACTAACAGTTTACAATCTGTTAGTAAACAGTGCTACTACTAACTGTAAACACTTATCTTTATCATCGCACACTATTCTTGTCAAACCTAGTTATTTGCTTAAACACAGTAATTCTTTATAAATGTTTAGGAATTCAATATTCCGGAAGCATTTAAGAACTTAAACTCATTCTCTATATACTTCAGTTTAGACAAATACTTAGCATCAGCACGCCTTACATACCACGTGTGACTCACAACACGTTATGTGAAAAACCTAAGTAACTGAGGTCTAGGTTTTATAGAATTATGATTTCATTGAAATATTCTGGCATGCAGATGTTATTCTCCCGAAAAGTCTAACTGAATCAATCAGTTCCTTGTACTTTTTTGTCTAGCGTGAAGTTTCACGTGATTATATTATGGCATTGTGTAGATGCTTGTTTGTTTTTATCTGAAATGTATTCCAATGCTAACTGGCATTTTTGGTCTTCATTAGATGCGTCGGTGGCACAGCGGTTAGGACTCTCGCCGATCATGCACATGGTCCGGAGTTCGATCCTCTGTCGACGTACATCTGATATCTGTGGTCGGCCTGCTAGATTTGGCCTACCGATATCACATGCCGAAAATTCCATACCTGTACCGAAAATACGGTATGAAATCAAGCTGTAATCAATATATATATATATATAATTCTTAATCTTATATTCTTTTAGGTGAGCTACGACTCATTAATCTTCAATGCATTCCCGCGTATTCACGTTGAATACCAGTCATCGTATGTGGAGAGTGATACGAAGAAATATGACCAGGTAGTTATTTTTTTACTGTTGGATTTATCCATCGTCTTGATTAAAGAGGTAGCTTTATGATTTGTTGGAGTCTTCTTTCCAAAGCTTTCATCGTACGTTTTTCTGACCAAAATTGTCATACTATTTAACCATGACATTTTGAATATATTAAATGAAGCAGTTAAGAAGCATGCATAGATTTCACCTTCATGAAAGCAGCTGGCGGTTTGTGTGTTCCCATAGGGTTGTTAGATAGTTGTTTCTATAACTTGTCTACCGACTACACCCGGCCGACAACTGCTACCTTGCCGTGGTGTTCGGGCTTGAATACTGCAGTGACCCAGCAAGCTAAACGGGCTGGGACTCATGTCCCTGAAGGTCCTACTATGTCAGGAAGGTTGTTTGGATAGCAGTTACCATGGGGTACATGGGCTCCAGAATCCAATCGGATCAAGTGGCGTATGAACCCATATGGGTCACCGGAAACCATGGGAATGCAGCTCCTGACGCAGCCCCGCTGCCTTGCGGATTAGACTCCAAGTGAAAGGCTCGGGGGTGGTCCCTTAAGGAAACCGTCTGCTTCGGTTTGGGCACCCGGGCAGCATCTCAGCCCTCACACAACAGACTATCATTGAAAATCACCGCGCGCTAGTAAAAATGATTCCAAGCAATACTGATCCCTCAAGGAACTTATTTCCTTCCTACCCTACTTTTATTTTTATACATAGTTTCCTGTATTGTACCTTTTCTAACCTTGGCTTCTTAACCTTCGACAGCCTTTCGCCTTTGTCGAGATTCCCAGCCTATCCGTGTCGTTTCGAGATGTTAGTGAGTAGTCCTCAAAATGGTTGTTCCCAATGTGACATCTAACACAGATATCCTGAAACCGCGTGCTGCGTTCAAGCTGGCTACCTACAATGTTCGGACGCTGATGCAAATCGGACAACAGGCAGGGTTGGCAAGAACTTTGGAAAGCCTCGCTATCGATGTCTGCTGCATTTCGGAGACCCGCATTCAAGATCCCAGTGAAGTGCTTCGACTATCCTCTCCATCTGGAAGTTCTAGTAGTATGTACCACCTGCGCTTATCCGGGGACCCTGTGGCGTCGGCATCCGGCGTAGCTGGTGTCGGTGTCGCACTGAGCGCTAGAGCCGAAGCTGCACTGCTCGACTGGATTCCCATTAACAGTCGTTTATGTGCTGTGAGGCTGGAAGGTTATACGAAAGTAAGGAGTAGTAGGCCAGATAGGCGGTGTCTATTTGTTGTCTCTGCCTATGCACCGACGGATTGCAGCCCGGATGCAATGAAGGATGAGTTTTACTACCAACTGAGCGATCTCTTGAAACAGGCGGGTCGGAGGGATATCGTAGTGCTGGCTGGGGACTTGAATGCACAGGTGGGCGTCTAAGCTCAGAGGAGAATCGTCTAGGTGGTCAGTGGGGACTACATGGTCGCAGGTCAGATAATGGGGACCGTCTTCTGCAGCTTTGCGCGGATCACAACCTATTTCTAGCTAGCACCAACTTCCGGCACAGCCATCGCCGTAGCGCTACCTGGCGTCCTCCCTCTGCGAAGCAAGCTTGGACTCAGATTGATCATATCGCGGTCAGTTTCCGGTGGCGAGGATGCATACAAGACTGTCGCTCCTTCTGGAGCACATGCCTGGACTCCGATCATGCGTTAGTGTGTGCCAAGTTCGTCTTGCGATTTGGTGGGGTTCGTAAAAGCCGTCGTCTAAGCGTTGATGTGAGCAAACTAGTAGCACCTGCTACTTCTTTGAAATATCAGAATGAGTTAAAAACAATGCTTGCCAGCAACCCCCCAAGTAGTATAGATGAACATTGGCTTCATGTGCAAGGTGCCATGCAAAAGGCGAGTGTAGCCGCTTGCGGCTTGAAAGAATGCTCCGCTAACAACCACTGGGTTTCTGCGAGTTCCTTGCAACTCATGGATGAACGCCGGTCCATTCCGGCTGGCAGCGAATACAACAATCAGCGAAAGGCGCTCACGCGCAAGATTAGACAGTGTTTACGTAAGGACCGCGAAGCCTGGTGGTCAGAACGTGCGTGTGAGATGGAGTCAGCTGCTGCATCTGGCAACAGTCGGAAGCTGTTCCAACTCATACGAGCCACCGGCAGCAAGAAACAAGGTGTCAGCGAGACGGTCTGTGAGGCAGATGGCACTCCAATTACCAGCCTGAAAAGACGCCTGGAACGCTGGGCAGAGCACTTCGGGAAGCAGTTCAGCTGGCCACCAGCTTCAGTGTCTACTATCATTAGCCCGAGTGCTCCTTGGTCGGTTAGTACCGACCCACCCACCGAAGCGGAGGTCCGTAAGGAACTCCAAGTTCTGAAACGCCATAAGGCGCCCGGCCCAGACAAATTACCCCCGGCTCTTTTTAAAGATGGTGGCGAGACTCTCACAATGGCTCTAACTGGGTTGTTCAGGAAGGTGTGGGAGACAGAGAGTGTACCATCAATGTGGAACGAAGCCATTATCGTCCCCATCTTTAAAAAGGGTCGACGTAATTCGTGTGACAATCATAGGGGTATCAGTCTGTTACCAGTAGCGTCTAAAATATTGGCTGCTGTCTTGTTTCGCAGGCTGGGTTTCGTTCAAGTCGTGGATGCATTGATCATGTGTTCACCCTTCGTCAGTTGTTTGAACACCGCCACACGTATTGCAGGCCAACGATCGTTGTATTTCTTGATATTAGGGCTGTCTTTGATTCGTTGGACAGAACTGTGCTCTGGAACTGTCTGTTAGAGAGAGGTGTACCTGAGAAATTTGTTAACATCCTGAAAGCCCTATACAGAAACACCTCAGGTAGAGTGAGGGCATACAACCAACTATCATCACTGTTCCCAACCAACAGTGGGGTCAGACAGGGTTGCCCAATATCTCCATTTCTCTTTCACTTTGCCATCGATGACATTCTGGAGTCCGCTTTGAAGGATGTGCGTGAAGGTGGTCTAGATCTGCTACCTGGAGATAGACTTTTCGACCTCGAGTATGCAGACGATATCGTCTTACTGTGCGATAGCATGCAGGCTGCCCAAATCGCACTTAATCAGTTGGCGATCAGTGTCTGTAAGTATGGTATGTGGTTTGCGCCAAGTGCAAAGTACTGTTACAAGATTGGCAGGAGCCTGTACCCACACTCACTCTTGGGGGTGAACCGCTTGAAGTTGTTGATAAGTTTGTGTACCTGGGTAGTTGTGTGAGTGCTGGCGGAGGGGTGACGGATGAGATTTCCAACCGTATAATGAAGGCTAGGGTGGCATACATCAACTTGAGCCACCTATGGCGCCGTCGGGTTGTTAGCCTGACTGTCAAAGGTCGGGTATACAATGCTTCGGTGCGGGCTGCGCTCCTCTACGCCTGTGAAACCTGGCCTCTCCGAGCTGAGGATGTTCGGCGACTCTGTGTGTTCGACCATCGCTGTCGCTGCAGGATTGCTTGCGTTCGATGGCATCATCGCGTGAGTAATTCTGAGGTGTGTGTTTAAACACAGTGGAGATCACCATTCACTGAGTGTCGTCATCAGGAAACACCGGCTCCGGTGGCTTGGATATGTGCTCCGAATGTCATCCCATAGGCTTCCGTACAGGTCTCTGTTCGCTAGCCCTGGGACGGGATGGGAAAGGGGGAGGTGTGGTCAGTCCATGACGTGGCGTCGTGGGATAGGATGAGGGATTTTTGGACTAGATTAGCATTGGTTAGTCTTTCACGACTCGCTGGTTGGAGTCCGCAAGATAGCTCGAAATGTTATCGGATATGGCCAAGAATCGTAATCAATGGCGAACGTGTTGCAATTTCCTTCTTTCTCCCCTTCCGGTTGATAGTTAAAGAATACTGTTTGAACTTGTTAAGCATGACTGTTTTCCTTCCAGATGAAGTTCTTTATCCGTTCTCTACAAATGTTTTTTTAACTTTTGATCTGTGTTGTTTTATTATTATTGTGTGGCGCATCCTTCTTCGTGCCATATTGTACCAAGTTTTTTCTGCGTTTAAATAAAATAAACTACTGACTACAGCTTTGTGGAGTCATGAGATACTTGATGATTATTTGAAATTCGTATGTTCTAATTTACCGTAGAGAGTGTAAACTCCTAGCGGTATTGTTTCATGTTCAATGACCAGGTCGATAAACCACCAATCTGTATCAGTTATAAAATAAGATTATTTTGTATTTACCTGGTACAATTCGTTGAAAAGATATTATTGAATGTACGTTGTGATAGATTTATTCTGTCAGAAAATGGATGGAAATGTGATCTAATCTTCTCAGTGGTGACTGGAACAAAGTATATTCTCTGATACTCCCTTTAAAGCCAGCAGAAAAAACTTCGAGATCTTGTAAATAAGAAGTGAATGATTTTAAAAAATACTAACTAATGAACAAATCATCAGCCATTTGATTTCACTCCTAGAAAAGAGATTTTTTTCCTCATAGCATTTTCTAAAATATATCTGTTTATTTGAAAAGAAATTGACTTATGTTATTTATTTCTTTTCCAGATGGCTTTCCGTTATTTATCCTGGATGTTATTCCCTCTGTTAACAGCTTATTGTGGATATTCATTAATATATGAAGAGCATCGTGGATGGTATTCTTGGATATTGTCTGTATCATATGGTTTCTTGCTAACTTTTGGTAAGATTGATCATTAAACACCTTTTCAGCTTGTGCTGATTCTAATGGAATAATTATTCATCAATAAATTACGTAAATGTTTCCAAGCCATTCTATTCCTAATGCGATATTAGATGTGTTGGAGACCAGTAGTTTAAGATAGTATCAGTCCATGAAGCTTCTATTTGTTTGTCTGAATCGAGTAAATACCTGTGGATTAACTTAATAGGGCGTTATTAGTGTGAAGAGCACAATTCATAATCACTGCAGCTCAGGTGTATTTTAATCCTCTTTAATTCTAAACATGTTATCCATTCTCATGAATGCAATGTGTTTTCTGATAGGCGTATATTTTTCTTGTAAATATTGAATGAAAAATTTTTGGTGAAGGGTAATAAATATGTGCACCCAATGATGAAAGTGTTATGATTCATATAATCCTTATTATTATTTATTTTATCTTTATTTTTAGGTTTTATCATGATGACTCCTCAGTTATTTATCAATTATAAGATGAAATCTGTTGCTCATCTCCCATGGAGAATGTTAACATACAAAGCATTAAATACATTTATCGATGACTTATTTGCATTTGTTATTCGAATGCCTACTCTCTACCGCCTTGGATGTTTACGTGACGGTAAGATAACTTATTTGTACGGGTTAATCTTCCCTAATTAGTTCTGTCAATGGTATGGAACAGATTTTATGTGCGACAAGTTGATAAATAACAATAATAACCATGATGAAATATCTGTAAGTGTAGTTACTCACAAAAATCGTGCAACTTATTCTAACAAAACTGAAAACATAAAGAAAATTTCAATTTTACCATCAATCCGTAGCGTTGATTACTATATGAGGCGAATCGTAGACTGAGGTTCAACAACCTAAACACTTGTTTCATGTTATGTATGAATCCCAGAATCAGATACTACTTCACTTGCTTTAGCGCTGACCTGTAAGTGGCTAGTAAACTTTCCAACCCACTGGGTGCTGTTCGCTTGCAGCTAAATGAAGAATTACATAGTTGCTGTCTCATTTCATTCAGTTGTCAGTTATCTAAACTGAAGTCCTGATTCTATACTATGAGGTTGCTAAACATTTATCATATTTCCAACATTTTCAAGTACTACTAGTAGTATGCATATATGTATGGTGGTATTCCGTTGTCGCTAAACATGTTAGACATTGTTTCGGTGGTAGGAGCTTTTTAACTCAATCAAACTGTTTATTGTATCGTATTTAGTTGGAAAGATATTTTCACTATATGTATATTAAGCTACTTTTGAGGTTGACCTCTTCAAAGTTATTTAGATACTGGAAACTTTGTGTTCACTTATGTTAAGCAAGTAAAGTGTTTTGTCTTTCTTTCATAGTGTTTTCTGTTTTTCTTTTTCACTTCCATGTGTATTAAATTTCGAATGACAATTTACTTACTGAGTTTTGAGCAGCTGAATACTTAGAAAATAATTTTAACTCACTTTTCTCACTGCAAGGAAATGTATTTTATAACATAACGAATGTATTCATGAAGATAAGTACTACAGTTGGCATTTCCTCCCCTAAATTCAATGAAACCGTATGGTTTCGTTATGCGTAATTATACATTTTTCTGAGTTGTTTACTAACGAGTTTGTCTCTTTTCTTATCATTCTTGTCCAGACGTTATATTTTTCATCTATCTTTACCAACGATGGATATATCCCATGGATCCAAATCGTGTTAATGAGTTTGGAGTTAGTAAAGAAATGCTTGATGCCCAGACTAAGAAAAAGTTAGAAAAAGTGGATGCTAATGGTGAATTGCCTTCCGATGATGCAGCAACACATACTTCCAAATCTTTGTCAACTTTATCCAATGGCGATGATAACCATCAGGAAGAAAACACACCGTCAGTGCGTAAACGTCAATCAGGTTTTATAAAAAAATAAACTCCTTAAGTGGAAAGACGTTGATTCGTTTTGTTTTCCATATGTGTTATGTTTTTGTTGATTCTCTGATTTATTTTCCCTCGTATGTATACTATATTCTCATCATATCCTGTTAGGGAATTCTGGTTTTTGTTTTAAACATATATATTTTTTGCACGCAGACAAGGCATAGCGATTAATAGTGTAGAGTCATTTTAAATCGTTTAAGTTTACAGGGCAGGGTATTCCATTTTGCAGATACATAATACTCTATGAAAGCTTTTATTGGTGTGATTTATTCATGTTAATTGTCTTTGATGATAGTCTGCACGTAAAGACGCGTTGGCCATAATCCTCCACCCTTATTTCTTATTTCCTTCTTATTGTAATTTGTCATTACGTGTCATTGTTTAGCTTACATCAAATTTAGAACCTTGCCAATCTTTTATTTTCTAATGTTGAGTAACTCGGCTGTCTACAAATGTTCCAACTTAGAAACTTTTATTTCCTTATTTTTTGTTGAGCATGTTCTATACTCCTTCTTGTATGTAGTCATTTCATACCTCGTTCTATCCTGTGTTATTGGCAGTTGTGTATATGATTGACAAAAACACTTTTAGAGAACACGTGTTTAATAAACTACGTTTTGTCATAGTATATAGTCTTCATCTTCTTCATTTTTCTTTATGTAGCAATTGGTAATTGTACATTGTGTTAAAATGACTAACAAGTTGATGATTCATCGGATGCAGTATGCTACAAAGCTTTGAAGACATTATTTATATGTTATAAATTATTCAAATTAATCCCAGCGTGGTAAGAAAATCAAAACAAGAATTTTCTAAACGTTTCGCCGTGTAAGCCACAGCTTCTTCAGCAGATTTATTGGGATTATTATTAATCATCAAAATATATAGTCAAAATTTTTTACATAAATTGAAGTCAGTTTATTTGAAAGTCATTTGTCCATGGACATTTTTTACCAATAGAAATATGTGAGCAGTCATCACATGTATTTGTAATGATTAATGATGAATCATAATAATGAATCAATCTTACTCGGCGCTCAAATTATTCCAGGAAGTTCGTAACACCTACGGTCTGGAAACCTATAACATTATTTATATGCTTTGAAATTATCGAGTGGGAGATATGACGACTAGCACTCAGACTATTATGACCTATGACCAGGCCATAAGTTCGAATTCCAGCGTATTACACGCTGGTCACTTGGCGATGCTTGCATGTAGTTTCCATGTAATTCTTTTTCGAAATATTCCCAAGGGCGTTTTATGTGTTAACTGCTGTTAATTTTGATATATCACGGAAAAAAATGGCACTATAATTAGCTCCCAGGATAGACGACTGGATCGTTGGAAAGAGCATTATGAGGAGCAGTTTAATTTGCCCACAGCCACGCTCAACCTTCCGAGCATCCAACACCTCCCTGAATGGGATATAAACACAGGTCCTCCGTCACTAACTGAGGTTACTAAAGCTGTCACCAATCTGAAACTAGGCAAAGCAGCGGGACCTGATGGAATGACTCCAGAGGTATTTAAGTACGGTGGAGACAGCTTACTGTCTGGATTAACTGAGGTACTAGGCAGCGTCTGGGAATCAGAAGAAGTCCCATCGGGTTGGTGTAAGTCACTGATTATCCCGATATACAAGAAGGGAGACAAGTCTTCCTGTGATAATCACAGAGGGATTAGCTTGACTAATATAGTATCTAAAGTCTTAGGCTCAATAATCATGCGTAGACTGAGTGGTGCTCGGGAGGCACAAACACGAGAGAGCCAGGCAGGCTTTAGACCAGGAAGAGGGTGTATTGATCATATCTTCACCCTCCGACAGATCCTAGAACATAGACATTCCTACCGGCGTCCAACAGTCATTATATTTCTTGACCTAAAGGCAGCTTTTGACTCTGTCGATCGAGAAGTTCTCTGGAGATGCTTGGCTGTAAAGGGAATTCCGAGAAAATATATTGCACTGATTAAGGCACTCTACTCGTACTCATACAGCCAGGTGAGGGCATACGGTGAACTGTCATCTGAACTGATGACGACCAGTGGTGTCCGTCAAGGATACCCATTATCTCCTTTTCTATTCAACTTCATCATAGATGTGTTAATGGACTTAACCCTAAGTGACTTCAGCGACTCAGGGATTGACTTGCTACCAGGGTATATTCTCGTTGACTTGGAATATGCAGTCGATATAGTCCTTTTAGGCGAAGACGCTGACAAGATGCAGTCTTCTAAACACCTTGAGCTGCAATCTACGAATGTTTGGCATGCGGTTTGCTCCCGCCAAATGCAAGATGACGTTACAGGACTGGACTACACTGACTCCTAGTTTAGAAATAGGGAGTGAAGTGGTAGAGCACGTTGACCGTTTCACTTATTTGGGAAGTACCATCAGCCCCAACGGGCTGATCTCTGACGAAATCTCAGCACGGATACAAGGGGCTCGTTCCGCATTTGCCAGTTTACGCCGACTCTGGCGTAGACGAGATGTTCGACTATCGACCAAAGGGCGGGTGTACTGCTCATCAGTCCGCTCCGTCCTCCTTTTTGGTTGTGAGACCTGGCCACTGAGAGTGGAAGACATGAAAAGACTAGCTGTCTTTGATCATAGGTGCCTGCGTTCTATTTCCCGTGTAAAGTGGCATAATAAGGTGAGCAACATTGAGGTTAGGCGTAGAGTTCTAGGTAAACAGGGGAAATCAATCGACGAAGTCGTGAAGCTACATTGACTGAGATGGTTAGGACATGTGTTACGTATGCCAAGCCATCGCCTCCCTCGACGAGCAATGTTAGCGGATATAGGGTCAGGCTGGAAAAAAGCTAGCGGCGGTCAAACAAAAACTTGGCATCAGTCAATGAAATCCACAACAGTTGGTCTAAGCCACGTAGGAAGGTGTAGACTTCCAGGCTGGGGTCCTCGGGACGGTAAAAATCTATGGTTGGAAACAATTGGTGACATGGCTCAAAACCGTTCTCAGTGGCGCAGATGCATCCACTCCCTGTGACTTATGATCTACAATGAAACTGTTTTGTATTTCTTTATTACTCCTTTGTCTCACACCTCTGCTCACTGTTTCTATTATGCTTTTCTTGTACTTTCTTCTCTTGCTTCGCGTGCTACACGGAATGTGGCGACTTGAACTTCCGCACATTTGTGCAGAGTTCTATGTCGAAAACAGACAGACAGATATCACGATTGCATTAATGTTCCGACTATTTTATTACTTCTATGAACAATAAGTAATTTTCCGTTAGTTGATTTCTCGAAAAAGATTCCTCTTTACAGAATTAGAATGAAAGTTTTCCCTTCGGAAAATTGCTATGTGTAGTATGCAAGTTATTTTTTATTTTTGATCACAGCTTGATTCCACACTGTATTTTTGGTACAAGTATGGAATTTTCAGCATGGATATCGGTAGCCCAAATTTTGCAGGCAGGGGATCGAACCGCGGACCATGTGTATGGTCGGCGAGAGTCCCAACCACTGTGCCACCGACGATCTGCATATATCAGTTGATCACTTTTACCAATGCCTTTACTGGCGGTTAAGATTCCTTGCTTTCACTCAACTCCTGGCGCGTTAGCGCTTTGTGCGTTGGTGACACTGTGGTTAGGACGCTCACTGCCCATGCACATGGTCCGGGGTCCAATCCCCATCCGACGCACCCGTGACATCGGCCTGCTTAACTTGGGTCACCGATATCACGTACTGAAAATTCCATAGTTGTACTAAAACTACTGTGTAAAATCAAGCTATGGTAAAATAAAATAACCAAGTTCGACGGCGACATAGTACTCTTGTGGTAAGGGCTGGCTGCCAGCTAAATTGGGTAGATAGTAGTTTACGTAAATGTTTACGTCCCCAATATTGGTCATGAGAAAAATAAGAACAAAGACTGACTCAATAACAAATCACAGCAGACTTTGCGTAGGCGAATACAATTTGCAGATAGATAATCTGAACTTCAAGAAACGGGCACAAAGAGATGAAAGATTAATGTTCAGCGAGAAACCACCAATCAGAAGATTGTTTGCTTACAATAATCTATAGTAATGTACATGAAAATCTATAAATATTTGTTGGTTTCCTACATAAACGACCTGTTGTCTGGCCCTTGTCTTCTGTTGTTACACTCTTATTCGCACTGAGTGTATTCGAACGAAAATGTTTCGTGAATTTAATTGGCATCTGTGGCTAAGCTGCTTCCTCTTAGATATTAAAAGCGCTGATGCGTCAAGCACCACACTGCTTAATGATTGGCTGAGTTTCAGTCCAAGAATTCGCACAGAAGTGCAGCAGTACAAGTTACCACACTCCAAGTAACCCACAAAAGAAAGTGCTTCAAAAGAACTATGTTAAGCAGGAATGTGTCGGAAAAATAGAAACATGCAGAGACATTAGTGTTTAGTGGATAAGAGAAATCACAACGAATGAATGCATTTGCTGGATTGGAAACGATTTTGAGACATGTCACCAGTGCCGTCCAGCCATTGATTCTTAGAATTTCAAGGACCCCATCTAGACAGCCTACACCACCTCTCTATGTAGCTCAAACAAACTGTCAAAGTCTTCATGGACTGATCCCAGGTTCTGGTTTGCCCTTTCGTAATTTTTTTTCTCACTTAGTCCTTTTCTAGCTAACATTATCTGTCGAGGAAGCCCATGGCTCTTCATGGTCAACATGTGTTCTAGCCATCTCAATGGTTGTAGCTTCAACCTCATCGATTGGCTTGACACGGGACACCTGTAATCAAAGGCAGTCTTTCCATATCTTCCACTTACAATGGTCATGTCTCACAGCCAAACTGGTGCGCAGTACACACGTGACTTGATCGATAGCCGGATAACACATCTACGACGGAGATTATGTAAATTGTCGAATACGACCTGGGCCTCTTGTATTCGTGCTGAGATTTCGTCAGCAATCAGTGTGTTGGGTCTGATAAATCTTCGCAAAACGTAAGGGAGAAACAATAGCGTTATGAAAAACATGTGGATTTAATGCACCGAGGTGAATACAAAGAGTGAATGTATCTGCGACACAAAGCATTTTGAGCTATGCAAACAACGGTCTCCACCCACTATCTCTTCCTTTACTAGCGCTCGACCTCTAACCGCAATATCATTCACCATACTGTACCACTTAACTTCTTATTTCTTCCCTTTCATTTATTTGTGCAAGTTCAATTTCACAACAAGGAGAACGCACGCGGATTTGTAAGCCAGCTCTTGAAATTGGATACTATCGTTGCTTGGTCTGAATGTGGTTTGGTAACCTGCTGCATTGAGCATAAGGAATAAAATCCAGGTTTTCAACTCCAGGTTCATGTCGATGTTGTTCTCATAAGGTTCAGGGTATTTTCATGTCTCTAAAAGCTTTTTGAGCAGGTTGAAGACTTTTATCACCAGTTGTCTTGGCTACATACAGAAGATAAGAAGACCAGTCAGAAAAGATTAGCGAAATGGGACTGTGCAAATAAAAAATAGGGAACCTACTGCCCATCCGAAACGCAGAAGAAAGATTATGTAGACACTTAATAGATCGTTGAATGATATCACGTGCCAAGCCCTGCAGTGAAATTTATATAGTGAACGACGAGTTGTATGGGAAGATGAAAAGAAGAGTTATAGGCAGTTGTGATCCTACACCACAAGTGCTTAAGAGCGGTGCTGGGGAGTTATTGATTGGATTAACTGATACGCTGATTAGTCTTTGGAAACGTGAGGTACTTCCATGAGAATTATATCATTATGGATAATAGAAAATGCAGTGGACCCTTTTTTGATGGGTATAGGCTTTATTGCATCTACTCTTAACAATCCGGTACATATATCGTTAATTTGAAGAATAGAGATTTCATATCAAGAATTTCCTTTATTTAAAAGGAACCAGTAAAAACAAGTATTTTAAGCATATCAGGAAATCATATGACTATATTGATGGGGTTATGACAAATAAAAACGATATTTAGTCATTCATAATGTGTAATTATGGGAAATTTGAAGCTATTATCCTGTCCTTCCGTGTGAAGCATAGATGTCTTCAACAACTCAATTCCATTTTACTCCATTCTGTCGCATCAAATTCATTTATATTTATTGATTGAGGATAGATGGTTTCAAGCCTGTTCATAAGTACTTGTGTTTGTCTAATCCCTTCTTGACCTAGTCAACTGGGAATGTAGACATCATTTATTATGGCAGTCAGATCGAAGAGTTTATAACTCGATTAGAGAACCACTATTATATATATATATATATATATATATATATATATATATATATATATATATATATAGTTAGTAACAAACGTAACGATGATTGCGGTAAGACAGGATACCTCATATGAAAATACCGCTAGAACGCGATGATAATGTATGAAATGACCAAATATTTGATCGATTAACTAAAGGGCGCGATGAATTGTTGTTCCATAATTTATTTGCAGGGTGAAATACTGTCTGGGCACCCGAAATGAAGCAGATGGATATTTTAAGGGATCAATTCTCAAGGTTTTGGCTTGAAGTCTGATGTACAAAGCAACCGAGCGAACTCAGGAGCTTCGTTAACAAGGCTGTCAGTGAGCCAAACTGGCTTACACGCTGCTTATTGCTTTTGGGCTCTGGAGAACATCCGAACCATAGAGTTGGAATCACTGTCTTTCTAGGTTCGTAGGTGAACTCTCCATTTTTAACCAGCTTGGTAATGAGCGCCGAACATTCACAAATCTATGCAATTTATTTGTGAACATATACAATATAAGTTTGTCACATCACTCAACAACATTATTTTTATATCTAGATATTTTGAGGTATCGTGAGCTTACTAGTTATGCTGTTTAGCACTCGAAGAAGAAGATAACAATTTCAATGACCCACTAATAACTGAGACTCTCAGAAGTAGATCGATTTCTCTATAGCTACAAGCATATATTACAGATAAGTGCAAACAGGAACAAAACTGATTGTTTTGAATTATTTGAAGTGATTCAACCATAAATAAGGTTCACAAAACAGCATTATTTGAAAAGAATAACTAACTTGTAATTCAACTGGATTCGTGATAGATTTTTCATCCCATGTAACTTTAATAGCATCACGCTTAGCAACAGTAACTTTCAACTGTTTCGATGGTAAATCTTTATACATGGCAAACCAATTAACAAGTGACCAATTCAACCAGGCCAGAGTATATTCGACTAATAGGATATCAGCTATAGCATCCCCAATTGATGTATTCGTTAAATCAACAAACGTTCGTAGTGGATTATTTGCATTCAAATTTTCGACAAAGTTCAGAACTTTTGTAGAAAACAAGACTGTTCCGTGTCCATTTGCCTAGTAAGAAAAAGTTGAGAAATAAATGCTCATAAATAAATGAGATATGAAGCGACAAAATACTTTATTTTTCAGAAAAAGACATCAAATATAACGGAAATTATAAAAAAGGAAATCTAAAACTATGACACTGATAACGGAAATATGAATGTAAGTGATTATGAGGTAATTAGATTTCTAACCCGTAAAATGATCATGCCCTTAAGACATCGCATTCGGACGATAAAAAAAAATTCATGTATGGGTACAGTTATCTACAGATGTCACCGAATGATGGTTGCACTAACTATAAATTGGAATAAGTCAAAAACAAATTGTCAGATTCTAATCCGATGGTTAAAAGCAACCAGTCGACCTAAGACAAGAAAAACTTGAGTTTTATTAAGAAGGAAGATATGGATGAGTACGCAACGTTCACAAAATAGGACGAATTAACTGTCCGAGGCATTTCGATTTCAACAGCTCTTTGAATCATGTTTGTAATCGACAAAAACAAGCTTATGCAAAAGCATTCCAAACACAGGATACAGCATTATTTTATTGTACAGTGGTCGAAGACACTACATCTTGCATCTGCACTCTAAGACAGATAAAAGAAAGGAAAAGGAATATAAGTAACATGAATGGGCTCTTAGAGTGCTAATGGATTGAATAAATACTGACAAGAAAAAATAAGGTGCATATCCGGTGTTGCTGAATAATACCATCTGGAGTAACTAACTAGAGATTTTCGCCATCACATGACCCTCTGGATAATCTATAGATGTACGCGACTTAAATTGATATTTATCGTCCTATCCCGATTCGACCTCCCTCTTTCAACTTATTTCTACTTTCACTGTGTAGTAGTAGTAGTAGTTGAAGTACATGATGACCGATCGTGTACAACACAAATGCCAGTCACCGAAGGCTACAGCAGTTTACAATGTTAAATGAATTACCATGTTGTCAAACTTTCACACTAATTACGTGACGATTCAACTGAAATCAAACAGATTAATGAACTCACAGAAAGTCTCCTAACCTTAACAGTCATGTTTCAAAGCCATTTAGTAGAACAGGACAAACTGCTGAACAGTTTTCCGACCCTAAGAGGGAAATCGAATAGCTTGCCAGCTCTGTGAGTTATTCAAGTTAGTGAGGGCTGTGCTCTTCAACCTTCACACCTCACCACTTCTTACCACTAATGTGAAATTCACTGTCAGTTTACATCTAAAAAACTTCGTCGTTTAGCGTGCTCTCAGCTTGTAGAAGCCTAAAAATACTAGAAACCACTGATAATTTCTTACAGTTATCTCAGAGTCAACGGACTGCTGATCACACCAAAACTAGCAAAGTTATCCTTTCCCGATAATGGCCTGTCCACTTCAAACCTAGTACATACCAACACAGTCTTGAAAAGTACGGGACTCCACAAATTCCAACATCCCTATGCAAGCTGAGTATTACTGGTCCTCTGGTTGGTAATGTTGCGCAAAATTAATACGCTAGGTATATGAGATACTTCATGAGGAAATCAGCTTCTCAAAAATGACAAGTATCAAAAGACTGAACCTAATATTTACCTACCCCATTCATTTTGTTGTATCTATCAAGTTTTTCTACTTTAACTCTGTAATCATCTCTAACTATCTTGGCCACCAAAACACCATTCAAAGTTGGGAAAAATAACTCTGCTAGCTATACGATGGGTCTTTCAATACCCGAATTCGGTTAATAAACCATGTGTTCAATAAGTCTCCGGCTGGAGATTTCTGTTTCACAATTGGATTAATCTAACTGCCCAAATTAAAAATTGGATACCGTTTTGTAATCTATGCTAATTACAGTTCGAACAAAGTGATCAATCAAGCTGATTGGCTTGATGCTGACAAAAAGACGCTCAAACATAGTTATATTAACAGGTGATTTCAATGCTTACTTACGAAAACTGAGCGAGATGAGAAGACATATTAGAGGTACTATGGTGTCTCATACCGAGAAACAAACAATGTTGATCATCTCTTACAATTTTGCGCAGACAACTATATGCTCTTAACTAACACTAACTTCAAGTGATTAGAGAAGCTTTATTTAACCTAATAACGACAAACCTGAGTCTGTAGCAGTAGCTACTAAAAACGATACTGCTTTACGGTTGATTAACACTTTCATAAAAGATGAAATGGAATTTCTGAGGAAAACCTAAATATTTAAGTGCTACTACATACTCAGTGCAAACCACTTTAAAGCCATACTCTATTCAGAATGAAAAGTTACTTTAGCTACAGGGATCGAGTAGAATGTTATAAAAGTTTGGAAACACAGCGCTGCAGCTGTCAAGTGGGGGATTACTTTTATATATCATCACACAGAGACACTATTCAATTTGCAACAATCATTACAGTAATAATCCGTTGTGTCAGGAATTTTATTACTGTAATATTTCACAAACATTACAAAACAAGTGAAAAACTGATTCGTGAAGAGCGAGTTAAGTTTCGTTTAACTAGTGCCCGCATAGCTTTCTTAGTGTCCTAAAAACCTCATACAGTGGTAAGATCAGGAAACATAATATATTTGATCTTCAAAGCCTAAGCGCCGAAAGTTTTTGCTACATACACACGGTCTGTATCTGCTTTCAAACCTCAGCAGACAAAAAATTCACATATTAATGACGATAATGCAGTAGTAAGATTCCCAATCAAAAATCGGATGTCACAACGGTGTTGCTGCGATGTTTTTCTGGTCAACAAAAGTCTTATTCACGGGAATTCGTTGTCTGAAGTTGTTTAAACCTGACCATTGCATTTGGTGACAACATTATCTGAGCAGCTTAAATAGCTGACAACATGAAAAAGAACAGATCGCTTCAGAAGGCTTAAGATTTACAACACGGAAAAGCAGACTTGATCAATCTATGTCGCATCATAGGCACATGACGAATACTTGAGTGGAGTTAGCCACTATTATAAGAGCATAACCCCGTAGGCAGGTTTTATGACATATTGCATATGACTAAACTCGCATAGTTTACTAGGTTTCGCTAGATTTCTAGCCTGTCCCAAGCCTGGAAAAAGAGAGAGCGGTGGGCATAGGGCCAGCCACCCTACACCACAAAACCAATCAAACTACTACAGAAACTCCAAAGCATATTGAAAAAAACACATTGAAAATACAAAAAGTACAAGGAACAAACTAATCTTTTCTGGAATCGGAGAGGCGAAATGACACAGGCTGGTGAATGCCATCGGGAAGCCAGTCAGACAGCCAATGTCTTGTGTCGATAAAAGCAAAATTAAGAATGGGAACGTGGAATGTTCGTACGATGTATGAAGCTGGGAAAGCTGTCCAGCTAGTCAAAGAAATCAGAAGATACTGTATAGAACTGATCGGAATTTGCGAAATCAGATGAGATGGATGTGGACTATCGGAATTGTCAACTGGTGAGTCAGTAATCTACTCCCGTCAATCAGACAACAATCACGAGCACAATGAGGCAGTGAGTGGCTATCATGATATGATCAATAGCAGCCAAAGCTCTAATGCAGTGGGAACCAATCTCCTCCTCCTTCACCTCCTCCAGGATCATGACAGCAAGATCCAACTCAAAAGGAAGGAAGGACGATCACAATTGTCCAAGGCTACACACAATACTACAAACAATGCCGGACAAGAGAAGAAGGAAGATTTCTATAGACAACTACACACAGTGATGGACAACATCCCAAATGCCGACATCAAAAACCTTACCAATGATATGAATGACAACCGAACTGAGAGCAGACAACACAGGAAGAGAACCCATCATGTATTGAGAGGCTCTCGACAGAACGGACAACAATGGAGAACTCTTCACAGACTTCTGCCCCTTCAACGATTTGGTGATCGGCGACAACGTGTACAAACACAAGGATATACACAAGACCAGCGACATGGATTTCGCCGGACGGACACACCACAAACCAGATTGACTCCATTTCAATCTCAAAGAAGTACATATGCGGAGTCGAGGAGGGGGCCAGATGTGGGCACAGATCACTACCCAGTGCAAGGCAAAGTAGCGTAAGGTCGATCTGAAAGCCTTTAAAAACAACTGCTGACAGGCTACAATTCAGGTTCAACACTCAGAAACTGAAGGAAGAAACCACAAAAGACACGTTCCCTGCAGATATCACAGCAAAGGCAGAGACACTACGTGGCATCACTGAGGAAACCTGTGTGGGAAAAACTTCTGAACTTTCTGAAAGTGGTGTTCAAGGAACTGTGTACAACTGTTCTAGGAAGAAAGAAGAGGCAAGACAAGGAATGACTGTCAGCATATACCTGGAAGCTAATAGAGGAGAGGAGGATGGTGAAACAGAACATGACTCAATGCAAAGATGGACAACAGAAGGAGAACTGACCTCAGTGTGCAACGTACTGAATAAGGAAGTGAACAAGAGTGCTGGGAGAGACAAAAGACAATGCTACGACACACTGGCTGGCAGCAGAAGCAGAACAGGCAGGCCGCAGGTAAAAGAGACCTCAGAACACTATATCAGATAACCAGGCTTCTCGCTATCCGGAAAGAGATCAATTCAGATGACGAAACCAACAAAAGATGTTCCAGGGAACCTAATCACCAAGGAGGAGAAACAAATAAGACGATGGGCTGATGACTTTTAAGGACTCTTGGATCGACCATCACCTGCGGCTCGTCCAGAAATACACCAACAACAACAACATGCATAGAACTGCCTGCCAGTGGACACTAATCGCCCAAAGAAAACAGAAATCCTGAGTGGAATCAATCTACTGAAGTCGGGTCAGGTAGGCAGCAGGCCCAAAGTAACTCCCCCCGAAGCACTGAAAACAGACCCAGAGGCAGTCTCAGATGTGCTGACGCGATTACTGCAAAAGGTTTGGATGGAAGGAAGGTTGCCCACTGATTGGAAGAAAGGCTGGCCACTTTGTCAGGCTACCAAAGAAGGACGACTCAGGCCCCACTCTGGAAGAACTGGTGTGGAATAGTGCTCTTG